TTAGTTTCCGTTACCTTGAGGTAGTCTCTCACAGAAAGAGCCTTCGTTATCTCTTCTGTGAAACCTGAAGTGTCTGTCATGGCTTGTCATACTCTTACGCTGTGAAGGAATCTAGCTGTAGTTTGAGGGGATTTTTTTTTCTTCGATCTTCACTCCAAGATCATTCTGATGATGCTCATTAGCAACTTTTAACCTAACATTTGGATAATTACCTTGTATGTGGTAAGTGGAAACATTTCCCTAGTGTCTAAAAGACCATTTATCGTAACTCAGACAAATGCTGAGTGTGTTCTTTCATGCAGTTCTGGGGAGTTAGCTCTGTGTTGTTGCTGCTCAGAGCTTTGTCATATCTTTACAGCATTTTGCCAATTAGTAACTGTGCAGTAGGGGAAATAAAAATTAGTAAGACTAGTATGATCCTGCCGTAGACATCAGTAGAGCTATCGCATATTGTCGAGTCCGTGTTCCACCCAGTAAACAGAAGGTAGCATTTGGCCTGATAAGCTATTGAAGAGGAGGACTGAAAGGAAAAATGGGTGCAAGCTTAACAGCAGAAGCATCACAGGCATTCTTTCCTCTCCCTCTCAGCATAGCAATCCAGTCTGAGAAAATGCATACATACAGCATTTGCCCTATCAAAAAAATTCTTCCCGGAGAAAGAGGTGAATGGAAATAATTATACCTTTCATTAATTACGCTGTATCCTCTAGGTGCACAAAGAAGCCTGCCCGGCATTTCTAGCTAGAGGATGATGATAATCCCCCAAAGGTGAAATGTTCTGAAAACATAATATTTCCTCCTTTGGTAGCGAGGTAGCTGACTTCTGTTAAGGTTATTGACCTTTAAGAGGACACTGTTCTCAGTCCGTCCCTCCCACACTGAAGTGTTTAATTGGTTCTGTATTTTGAAAGTGTCCTCACAAATAGAAGTCATTAAACACGTTCTGGACTTCTGTTCTTATTTAATGATGAGATAACAAACCCAAACGGTCTTTTCAGCCATACCTAGTGATAAACAGAAGTACCTGTCTTCTGGATGTGGCTGTTTCTAGTTCAGTCATGTTTCTAGGATAGTTCCTCAAGTAATAGCCTAAAATTGAGAAAAGCATGAGACTGAAATAAAATAGTTCCTCAAGTAATAGGAGAAAAGTAATTGAGAAAAGCATGAGACTGAAATAAGAGAGGGGGGAGCATTACAAATTTTTCCCTTAACGTGAACAGTAATGGCGAGTGACCTCACCAGACAAAGAAGGATGCATCTTGAGGTATTAAGTTTCTTGGTATGGGCTGGCATGTTTCTTCAGACTAGAAGCCCAGGGTGAGCCATGGCCTCCTTTGCTTGGCAGGTGGACCGCCGAGGATGTGGTGGGAATGGTGCTCCTTGAATGCTTTGCCCTGGTCCATGCAGCTGGTCTCCTTGGCTGGGAGCACTCCCACCCCTCAGATCACTGTTGACAAACAGTGTGAAAGCTAGATTAATTTGAGGGAAGGTCTAGAACTCTGAATTTTCACCTTTATTATATTTCTTTAATATCCTTCCTATTATAATCTGTGCAATTTTTCGGGGACATAGTTAACTCTTTTTTTTTTAATTAGCTCTTTTTTAATCATGCTGACTAGATTAATCTTTGTACCTTATTCCAGTGGATAGTGTTGTTACTGTGATTCAAGTACGTTAAAACTTAGACTATCTACCTCAGTTCACTGTGTCTCTAAGGTAATGTTTTGAGCAACAAACCAGAAGCACTGTTTATGCTTTTGCTTCTGGTGCTCCTCCTATTTTGGTCATATTTCTGTATTAATAAAATTTCCAGCAATAAGGATTATATCTGTTTATTTTCTGTGAGAACAGTTTTATCAGGTCTGGTAATGCAGTTCTCTTTCATGTAAAATTCGGTTATCTGGAGCACCAAGGTGCCACTGGCTCATATAGTAGCTACAGCTTTTGAGTTGGTCACCTGATTTTTGGCTTAATTTTTTTTTTTTTTGTTGATTTTAAGATATGAAAGCTGCATGGAACTACAGTTGTTGTGAACTAACATTGAAATGCTACAGAAGGCTGGGAAATGCCATCAGCAATTAAATTGTAGGGATTTTCTTTACAGAACTGTTGCCTTTTGTATGTCCTTAATAAGGAAACAGTCTTGCAAGAACTTTAATCAGAAATAATACATGAAAATGTTTCCTACTCACTTCAAAATGTAATTCTCTAGAGTTTGTGATGTATATCATCAAAGTCTTACTGTGACTTTGTTTCAGGAAGTATATCTGTTTTTCTTTTCTTTGGTTGTGTGATTGGGACTGTTTAAAAGCTAACATGGTATCTGGGAGAAATAGCATGTTTGGAGAACCCCTGCTTCTGCTGAAAGGCTTGCACAGCAGGGCCCTTCTTGTTCCCTTACAAGTCATTGTCATTTTTTGGAGTTGTATTTTGTGTTTATGGGTATGCTTTATGAGATTATATAATCATACTTGTTTTATATAAAATACAGAAGGGTTAACTTTTTTTCTGTTGATGGTTCTGCCAGAGGTGGCAGAAGCAAAGCGGATTATTTTAATGATGATTGTAGCTTTTTGCGTAGATCTTTTTATTTCCCCCTTGTTTTCTGTTTGTTTTACCATAAGAATCATAAAAAGGATGAGAGCCTAAGTGATTCTGTAAATAATCTGTATGAATATTGTCTTAACATATATATTTCAAATTAATTAGGATTCAATTTTGCAGCTATTGTATAACATTGTTTTTTAGTGCTTGGTGGAATGAAAAACTGGCATTTATCTCCAGGGATCTGTGTGTTGTCATAACCAGTTCTTGACCAGAATAAATATTTTTCACTTATTGTCTTAATTCTGTGAAGGCTGTATAGCTAAATGAGAAGACTGAACTTACTCCTGGGCAAGAGATTAGAGAATGTAGGATGAATAAGTCAATTCTACCAAGCTTGTGCAAATCCAATGGCGATAGCAAGGTTGCCGGAGTCCTGCCAGGCACCTGGCCAGCCTGCAGTAGTCTCACTGTGATGACGTGCAAAATACGAAGCCCCTGATCAGTTTCTAATCCCAAGATAAGAAAAATCAACAGAGAAATATATTAACTTTGTATTAAGTGAGGGAGCTTGACTTGAAAAATACCTTAGAGACGCTTTTGAGAGCAGAATCTTGTTCTAAATTTGAATATATCCTCGATGCTGCTCACACCTGTTCATCTCTGGCTGTGTTTTGGATCGTATTTTCCATATTTTCATAGCTGTCGTGGAAAGGAGAAGAAATAGTCCTCGACTTGGGCTTTTTTGTGAGTAACAACCCAGTGTGCTTGCCTCAGCTCCTTCCAAATAGCATTCCGCTCTCTTCTCTTGCTTCTCAAGCCTGGCCACTGCACCTATTGCAAGTAGTGTTGGTTGTTACAGCAGCCCTTAAATGGGTGCTTGAAGCTAAATTACCTCACACAAGTATGTTTGACTGGTCGCTCATTAAGGGACTGAGCAAAGAGAGGGGAGTTGAGGCTGAAGTTGCTTTGAAATGAGTCCTGTGTACATTCAGCACTCGGGAATGTTGCATGACTGGCATGACAGCGCTCTGTGTCTGCAGGCTTGCAAGCGCATCTGAAAACTGTAGGTGTTGCGCTGGGAACCAAGAAGAATATTCATCTGTAAACAGAGATTTGCCTGCCTCACAGCAATGCTGCAACTTCATTAATACTTGTGGAATGAATTTAATAGAAATGCAAAAAAACATGTTACTGGAAGGGAATGGATTTGGCTGCTATAGCACATTCTTAGATGCTGGGGAAACTCCGTCTATGTTTTGACAGAAGATGAAGAGTTTATAATTGCACAGAGGGTGAATAATGTACTTTCACAAATACTCAGAATATCTTTGTTTGGGATTCTTCTCTAGGTTGATTTTTGCTGATACGTGGATTCTACCTGTATCTACTTTGTAGGGACTTTTTGTTGCCATTGCTTCTTCAAAGCAGGAATAGTATCTTCTTGTTCATGCCAGTCATAACAGGTATTTTCGATTGTTATTTTGTATATCAATAATGAGATAGTCCCAAACGTCACTGGGAATGAGAAAATATTGTGTGATTGTCTGTAAATCAAGGACAGGTGGGCTGCTCTTGCAAGAACTTTTTTTTAAATTTTACCATAAATTCTTGGAGTTCCTGTTTCTACAGGAGTTTTGCTACTCCTGTAGAGAGTACAGGAAAGAGTAGAGGAGTACAGTTCCCAGGTGGGTGAAAATGGAATTTGTTGGATGAAATTCTTTTCTTACATTTCCTGTAAAATAAGGGCAAAAACAAATGATAAAGTTCACTTGTGATTGGAAGGGCAGTTTCTGTTGATTGATTCTTTTGGTTTCTTCAGAAGCATCAATGTCTTTTGGAAGACGTTATACTTTCCCTGTACCTAGATTAAGTAACTTTTGATATAGATAAGCACCTTCTCTGAATTTGGAAAGTATTTTGTTGTGATGAGAGCTCTGGGCTTCTAAGTCAGCGGCGAATCTTGTAACTTTCCCTTCAGTGTTCCAGGTTCAGGGCTGCTGCAAAATCCCAGTTAGGGAATGGACAATTCAGATTTTGATTGACATGTATTCACAGAATTACAAAGCCTCCTACTGTTTTTTTAAAATAGCGGGAGAGCTTGAAGAAATTTAATACTTCAGGATTGCAAAGGGTACATATGAAAACTGGCATGAAGTTCATGTAAATGTTGTTTGTGGGTTTTAGGGTGTTTTTTTTGTTTTATGTTTTGTTAATCTGAATGCCTTCTTAACCCTTCCACCATACTTCAGCCCTCTAACATACTTGTTCTCAGAATTCTGTTTTCTTTTCCTTGTTATTCATTTTTTGGGTGGGGGAAGGTTTGTGCTTTTTTTGCTTTGTCTTGGAGATTCTGTGTATTGTGGGAGGTGAGGCAACACTGATCTTGGCAGAACACCACAAAACCAAGAGAGTAATTAAATGACGCAAGCCTTTGATTATGTTTCTCTCTCAAGCTTTCTGGCACGACTGGACATTCCAATTGCAAAAGAAGGATCAAGGAGAAGAAACTTCTGAAGATTGCACGCAGAACTAGAAACACTGTACCAGAGACGCTTTGCTGTTTTCAAGCTCTTCGCTCTCAAGTTCTGGAGTTGCTTCTGTTTCCCTGAGAGTATAATGTCCTTTTCATCACCCAGGTTAGAAGTGACTGAACGGGAGCTGCAAAGGTTTTATTTTGGACTCAGTTTCTCTGCTGTCTTACTAATTGGATTTTTTCCATCTTCTGCAGGAGGATTATAAAAGGATTAGAAAAGGTGTTTTTCTGGGGAGAGGTGGGTAGGGAGCAGAAGTAGCTGTTATTTTTCCCCCTTTTGGTACTGGGACCAGTGACTTGCCATTTCTTCCCTGAAGACACTGCCTGTTTAGAAAAGGGAGAAATAGCATAACAGATGAACTTGTAAGACCATGGATTCCTTCCCTCCGCAAACTTTGTATGTGGCTGCTTGTAAAGGAGATTTTTGCATACATAAGCATCAGCTGAAGAATAGCATCCCGGGCTGGATTTAGAAAAAACAAGCTGCTTGTGTCCTGATGAAAGGATAAATTCTGTTTAAACTGTAATTGAAAGATGAGTGGATGTTGTTCCTGTTTTCAATTTTGGTGAAAGAAAGGAAGGGCCTGAGCCCCTGAAGTACTCTGCCAGCCAAAACCTGCATGTTCTACAGCTAAAATTGGAAAATGTCTTGGAAGAGAAATTATTTTTCTGTAGGTCGGGGGAACGTACAGGGTATGTTTACCCCACGAAATACAACCTCGATAGCACCCAGTAAAGGTCTCAGCAATGAACCAGGACAGAACAGTTGCTTCCTGAATAGCGCGTTACAGGTAAGAGCACAGAATACGAAACGTTTCTGTCTTCGTCATCTCTTTCTGTCTAGTGCAATATTTTCTTAAGCTCAGCTGTACAGCAGCCAGGCTTGACTGCATAATTGTGTGCAGGCCTAGATAGAATAAAGCTACGTTTGGAAACACAGGTTAGTTGTGGTGTGTTATAGAATGAAGCTCAAGTCCTGCGCTGCTTTAGTTTGGGTTACGTTAAAGGAAAAGTGTCTGCTTGCTTTTTTTTTTTTTTTTTTTTTTTTGGTGTTACTGTAGCTGATAGCCATAGGGGGAAAAACAGCTTTTTTGATTTTCCTTCTATTTTGTGGTGAAACCAACAGCATTTGAGTAGTCACCATTTAATGTACTTGCATGTTTTCTGTTTATGTGAACTTTTAATATGTTATCCGCAGATGAAAATATATCAATTTTATGTAGAAAATTTGTGTTTTAAAATAGTTAAACGTTGCACAGCTTGCAGTATGTCTACTACTTAAATGTTTGTTGATGGGCCAATCACACTCAAGGGCTGATGGTATCTATTCAAAATCTGTTTTATATAGTCCAAACAGTTTTCTCTCTCGCTGCTGATGTGCAGTTTAGTTAGGATAACTGAGTCCTTACCTTTTGATTTAGAAGAACGGCCCTTTCCTGTGTCAGAACTTCAAGTGGAGTGGTATGACTCCTACATTTGTATTGTCACCATTTACATCTTTTGAATGAGTGTCCTTTGAGTTTCAGTTCTTCTGGCTGAAGAGTTTCAAGTCCTTTCTCCATTTCAGCTTCCTTCTCTTTGTATGTCTTGTCTGTTTAGCACAGGCTGTGTCACTGAGTTTATTTGCAGGCACAATTAGGTTCTCAACTAATGTCAGGCTTCAAGATGCTCTTGTGTAGCAAATGATACAAACAGAAGCGCTAGTGACCCTCAGTAGGATTAATATGCCATGAAATACAGGATTGGGAACAAAGGGAACTTGGTACAAGAAAAGTGGGGTTTCCAGTGATGTATGCTATTAATCACTTTTGTTAAGTTGTGAGGTGTAATTACTGGCTGCCTCCTAATATTGAGTTGGTCAGTGCTAAGTAGAGACTAACAGCAGCAGCATACCTTACACAAAGGGGAACGCATAGGAACCCAGCCTTCAAGTAGTGTTCTGTATTAACTGTTTCCTTCTAAAGCATAAGAAAGTTAGGATACCTAAGATATTTTGTAGTCAAAGCTGAATTAAAAAAATGAGATGCTAATCATATTTCATAAAATAGGTATTTCCATATTTTTCATCTTAACTTTTAACAGTAAGTGTTAGTCTGAGAGGTTCTGGACTGTTTGCTGCTCCTTACTACTAAATATTTCTATAAACGTTCAAGGTAAACTCTGAAGTTAATTACACTGAAAAAATTGGACTCTTTCCTAACTATGTTATTTTTCTCTTTTTGTGCAGCATGCAGTAGCTCTTCAGGAGTGTTCTGTATAGCCAGATGGTTCAAAGGCTCACGTAGCCTCACAGACCCTTAAGTATAGGCAGAGTTTGAGCATAAACATTACCCTGACAATTTTGAAGTTTTGGAGGAAAAAGTTCATTTAACTGATTGAATAGTCAGTACACGTGGGGGTCTTTTTTTTGAATACAGTTTCAGGTGACATCCGTGCTCTGCACTTCGCTTGTTAACAAACAAACTGCTGCAGCTAGAAACGATTCCTAAAACCAGTGCAAATGTTTTTCAGAACGCTTTTTTCTAGTCAGTTGTTATGGACAAATTAACCAGAAATGAAACGTTCAGTCCCTCTGTTTGCGCTAAGGAAGCGTTTAGTCAATCAAAGGCCAGGCTGGACGTTGCCGTTCTCTCTGGAACCTGGCACAGTGCAATTTAGGTCAGGATTTCTTTCAGTGCAAGTTTCTGCCTTCCCAAAGACTGGTGGGTATTGAGCGCTGGACTTACAGGAAAGCCCAGTTCTTGTTAGCTGAATTGGGTAGCAGCAAGCATGCATAAATATAAGTAGCTGATTGTGAAACGCCTCAGGTGTCAGTATTATCACTATTTTATAGATGAAACGACAGATACGAATTTAGAGAACTTAGGGAGGTTGCCCAGATTCAGTGGTAAAGCTAGGAAGAAGACTTGGTGCTATGAGAGCCAGCTTTGCCTCTAGCTGTTGCTGGCAGAGCATATACAATGTTTTTTTGCATTGCGATGTTTACCACAATACTTATCCAAAGAGAAAAGGGTAACTGTCCACACCGGTTAAGGCTAGAAGTCTGTCCGTGATCATGGTATGTAAATGTACCTCTAATAGTATCAGGCATAGCGGATTTCAGGAATTTACTGTTTTCACTTGCAAGAGCTTGTTAAGGTACGTGCTTTTGGCCTTCTGTTGCTGATGCTTGGCCGTTCCGGTCAGAATATTGAGGCTGCTGATGAGGTGCCTCTGAGTCCACTAACGAGCCCTAGGTCCTTCTGGATATCTTTGACAGCAGCGCTCAGGTTCACAGTGTGGCCACACAAGTACTTGTCATGGCACAAGTGCGCAGTGAGCACCTGGGGTAAGTGATGTTGAATCTGGCACTGCCATGCATAAAATGAACCATACTTTTTATCTAATAGTGTGCAGGAAGAAGTTCAGAGGGAGGTCCTATTGTAAATTAATGTATATGAATGCTACCGTTTTTGAGGAGGGAAGATGAAAATGTCAACTTGCAAGTAGATAAAAGGCATACTTCATTAAAAGTGGTTTCATTGACATTAATATACTTTTAGATTTATTTAGCTTGTGTAAATTTAGTCAAAGGTGTATGCAATATTTTATTCTACATATTCCTTAAAAAGTTGTGCTGCTTTTATGTTGCAGGTTCTCTGGCACCTGGACATTTTTCGCCGCAGTTTCCGACAAATCACAACACACAAATGTATGGGTGATTCTTGCATCTTCTGTGCTCTCAAGGTAAAAAAAAGTTTTAGAATAAATGAAAAATAAGAAAGATTGAGCAAACAGAAATATTTCCAGTATTTAATTAACATCTGTATTTGAACTTGCATCTGGAAATTGGTGAGAGCAAAGGTAAATCTGATTATATATCAGCTGCAGACCCTCATAAGCTAGTGCTGTTTTTTCAGTATGATCATTTAATAAATTATGAAAGTATTGTAAGCAAAACTTAGATAAAAGAAGTCTCATCAATTGGGTGTGGATCACCATGAGCTTCTGTGTTGTCTGTTGTCTTTTTTTTTTTTTAATTATCTTTTGGTTTATAAATATTACTCCATATACAGTCAGTGTGCTCTCCAGATTTTATCTTTACTTAAGAGCTGCTTTTAATGTCAACACAGAAAGCCAGTCAACTTTAAGCCTTTCTGTTCAAAACTTTTGATTATGCAAGACTAGGAGGTATTTTACACTGTAAATATTGATGTTTGCATTAAACGGACAGCTCTTTGTGGCACCTCTTTTAGAAAAGGCCAACTCTGTCTTTAGATGCAGATACAATAACTAACTGTCGTAGATACTGCCTGGACAGAAAGACCTAGATGCTAGCTCAGCTCTGATTCTGAGCTGACTTTATATACTTGGGTAAATTGTGCAATCCTACATCTTCATTTGTCTCCTTGCATTGATTTTGAGTGCCTCAGTTTTTTGTGCCTTCCTCTTTAAATTCATCTGCTGCAAACCCACAGCTCCATCTAATCTGGTAGGAGAAATGGACGTGATCCAAACCTGTTGAAAATACTGGCTTTATTTTCACCTCACAGAATCACCTGAGCAGTGATTGTTTTTTTTTTTTTTTTCCTCTCTGAAATTGGAACTGAAACATTTTCTTTGATCACAAATGGGTTGTAAAATCCAAGCAAAATATTTAAATGCATTGTGAGAGAATTTATTGTGCTTTGCATTCTATGTGCAGCAATAAAAAAGACAGACGGCATGTTTTATAAATAGGACAAAATAAAGAGGGAGAGTGTAAGGATTAACATCTGAAGGCAGTATTTATAGTATGCTAGCTGTCTTGCTACTGTTAAGTGACTTTAAGGTGTTCTGCCAGAGACAGGCTTGAAATGAGAGTTATCTAGTGAGTATTTGGACTGTCATTGAGGGATTTTCCCTTGCAAAAGAACAGCAAAGAAGAGACTATTAAGATAAGACATGCAAGAAGGTAAGTAATTTTCTTCTGAAGGGGAATCTACCTGGATCTATCTGTTGAGATGATGAGGCAGGACGG